CCTCCATTATTTTCTTTATATATTTAGGTGCACCTATATTTGGTGTGTATGTGTTTGTAAGAGTTATATCTTCTAGTTGGACTACTCCGTTAATTATTATGTAGTGGCTTTTTTTGTCTCTTGTCATGGCCTTTGTTTTGAAGTCTGTTCAGTCTGGTATAAGTATTGCTTTCATCTTTTTTTATGTCTCTTTGCTTGGATTTTTTTTTTTTAATCTCTTCACTTTCAGATCTTTTGTTCTGAGATGGGTCTCTTTTAGATAGTATATGTTCAGGTCATGTTTTCTAATTCATTCAGCTACCCTAGGTCTTTTGATTGGAGGATTTAATCCATTTACATTTAAAGTTATTATTCATAGATACATATTCATTACCATTTTCCCCTCTATATCTGTGTTTTTTTCTCTCTCTATTCCTTCTTAAAGCAGTCCCTTTAGCATCTCCTGGAGTGCTGACTTGGTGGAGATGTACTTTTTCAGCCAAATTTTTTTTCTGTGAAGCTCTTTATTTTGCCTTCTATTTAAAATGAGAGCCCTTTGGATAGAATTCTCTTGGTTGGAGGTCACCAGTTTTCATTACTTGGAATATTTGTGCAGTCCTTTCTGGTTGGTAGTGTTTATGTGGAGAAATCAGCTGATAGTTTATTGGAGCTCCCATTTATATTACTAGCTGTTTCTTCCTTGCTGCCTTTAAGATTCTGTTTTTGTCCTTAAATTTTGCCACTTTGATTGTAATGTATCTTGGAGTGGGCTTTTTTGTTTTTGTTCACCTTGATTGGGACCTACTCTGGTTCCTAGACTTCTATTACATTTTCCATCACTAAGTTAGGGGAATTTTTTTCATTATTTTTTCAAACAGATTTTCTATCACTCGCTTCTTTTCTTCTGCTTGTGATATCCCTATGATGTGAATATTGTTGTTTCATGTTGTCCCTAAGTTCCCAAATCTATTGTTCTTTTCGTGTCTTTTTTTCATTTTGTTGGTTTATTTTTTTCTATCTTGTCTTCCATCTCACTGATTAGATCCTCTGCTTCATCGAGCCTGCTTTCAGTTATTTCTAGTGTATTCTTCATAGCATATATTGCATTGTTGATTTCTAACTGGTTTTTATTCAGGATTTCTATGTCCTTTTTCATGCTGTTGTAGGTCCCACTGAGCTCCTTATGGTTCTAACTAAGGTACTTGAAAATCTATAACCATTACTTTGAACTCTGTCTTATAAATTGCTGGCCTTGATTTCCCTTAGCTTTTTCTGGAGATTCCTCATTTTCTTTTGTTATGGGGTTGTTTTTTTGACTCCTATTTTACTTGTTTCTTTATTTATTTCTATGTATTAGATTGATTTGCTTTGACTCTCTGTCTTGTGCAGTGGACTTGTATGTTAGGAGTTCTGTGGGGCCAAGTGGTGCAGACTCTGATCTTCTGATCAGGATGCTCTAGGAATGACCTCTGCGTGGGTTATGTGGACTTTCCTATTGTATTTGTCCCATTTGTTGATGGTAACTCCCTTCTGACTGGCTAGTTAAGAGGCTCAACCCTAACTACATGTTGTATGCTGTTGTATAGATGGTGGCAGAACAAAACAAAAAACACAAAAACAACATCAAAACAAGTAACCCACCTGACCACCACAGCAATAACAACCACAAGAGAGTAAAGGATAATAACAGCAGAAAGCAAAATATAATAGAGAAAGGGGAAAAGGAAAAAGAATATGAGACCAAAGGGAAGAAAAGTGATCATGAAAGGAGAAAGGGGAAGAGAACTACTACTTGTAATGAACTGAAGGAGGAAAACAGGGAAATGGAAAAGGTAACAAAAATACTAAAAGGAGAGAAGAAGGAAAACAGTAGGGGTAATCAAAGGTAAGGGTAGAATAGGTAATATGAAAGAAAAATGAGGGTACCAAAAATAAAAGAAAAAGATAAGATAAAAAGGCTATGAAAAAGAAAAAATAAGTTAATGAAAAAAGAACCAAGTGGATTTGTCTCAGCACAATTTAGATATTGTCTTCTGTTTTCTCCCTTTGGATACCGCCCTGATGTCTGAGTCTGGTGTAAGCCAATGCCTGCTGGTGTGGCCCTTGACTGCCTTCTCAAAGCTACAGGTGGTCTACAATTTGTTGCTAATTCTTCCAGGCTTGGCAGCTCCTGGGGTGGGCCAAGCTGCTTTGCAAAGCTGGCTTTTATTAGCACTGGGTCCAGCAGTGTGTCAGCAAATGTTTCGAATCACCACAGGATCCATCTCTGCCTGTTTCTGCCTGCTGGCCTGCTGTTAATCTTAAGCTCATTTGCAGACCCCACCATTTTGAGTGGGCTTCTGGTAGAAATAGGTGGTAGTGATTCCTGTATCTCCCATAGCAGATACCTTTTAGACTTCATGGAAGATGGTGGGTGTGTACCCCCTCCTCTGAGCCATTAGTTTGAATCTGCCCAGGATTATTTCTCTATACTCTATACGACGGGGCCCCTAGTAGGCTTCCAAAGTCCAGATTTTCTGTCTGCCCCGTGCCAGGTGGGTGTTTCCTTAGCTCTCCTGAGGGGGCGGGAGGCACCAGACTGTTTCTCAGGATCGTGTATGGATTCATTGCACCCTGTTGCCAGTCTCTGACAACCCCTGAGTGTATTTATGTTGCTGTCTCCTCATCAAGAGTTAAGGACAGGATGGCAGAAAAGAAAGAAAGAAAACCCAAACAAAACAGAACACCAAAACAGAGCACAACTGAAAAAAGAATAAACAAACTTGCTGAGTGGCACAAACAGGTTGTGGTGAGGGGATTTCCAAAGGGTGGAGACAGTAATATCCCAGAGGGCAAGGTAATTGATTTTTTTCCTGGGAGGGGCTAGCTCTTCTCAAGAAAGATGGCTGCTGTTGGAGTCCAGGTATATCCAGGCCCTGAAAATCCCACATCCACTCCCCCAAGACTCTCTCCAGTGCTTCCCACTCCAGACTCTTCTCTCCTGACTTTAGTTTGTACTGCCCTCTTTTTCCTCAGGCCCAAATTGGGTAGCTTCAAACACAAAACCTTTGCTTTGCCCCTTTAAGGAAAAAAATAAAAGTAAGTTTTGTCTTTAGAAGTTTTTGTCTCTTCCCAGAGCACAGAGCATGTACAGTGCAGACTCCTTGATATCCTGATCTGGATGCTCTAGGAATATCCCTTGTGTGGGTTTTTTGGACTCTCCTGTTGTATTTGGGCACTGATTTTTATTAGTCTGTACCTTGTTGGGAACCTTCCTCTATCTTGCTAACTAAGGGGCTTCACACCTCCCATGACTGCCTCTGACTTTGGGAGGGCTTCTAAGGGTAGGTTGGGTCCCCATTCGGGGCACATGCAGGAGGCCACCTATGGAGGCCTGTCTTTTACACCAATGCCTCTCCCCCTCTCTCACAAATCTATAGCTTATATCCTATATGCACTGTCTTCTTTCAAGTCTTACATCATCCTGATGGGGTAGGGGGAAGAAGGGAAGAGTTTAGCAGCAAAACTGTAACAATGGACAGTGGAAGGGCTCTCATGCCACTCCTCCAGGGGGTCTCAGACTCAGGCTCTCACTGCTATGCTCAAGCCAAGATCTCAGCAGCCAGGGCTGCCCCAGCCAACTCTCTCCACCAGTGGCGCTCCTGGCTCCTCAGTTGAGCAGCCACATCCTCCTCAGTTGGACTCTGTTTGTTTGCAGTTCTAGCAGTGCCTGGGGCCAGAGAGGTGATAGCCCCCCTCCCTAGCAAGTACCACAGGCCCCAGACCCTGGCTTCTTGCAGAGGCAGGGTGCTTGGCCCTGTCCAGGGTAGAAAGAACGGAGACAAGTCCAGGTGCCAAGGTGCAGCTGTTCCGGTTTATTGTTCCAGAGGAGGGTATTGTAACTTCTACAAAATGGCTCCAGCTCCAGATCTGCACAGGCAGACATGCTGTGCTGGCCTGCTGGTGGCAGCAACAGCTCTGTGAGGAAAGCCCATGTCACCAACCCCTGAGTGTCCTCACAGGTGGGCAGGCACTTGCACACTCAACACTCAGCTGGATTTTCGAGTTGATCCCTCGGCAGATTAGCTGCAAGACCAGTCCTGAGCTGGGAGCATGTGGGCAGAGCTTCCAGCTACTCTGCAGCCATCTTGGGAACCTCCTCAGCCTTTCATTCTTAAAATAGAATCCAAAGTCCTCATCAAAGTCTTATGCGATTTGACTCTTGAATATCTTCATTTTATACCATTCTTTCCCTTGGTTCAGCCACATTGGCTTCCTTTCTGTTGCAAGAAAACACTGAGCCATTTTTTAACTCAGGGCCTTTGCTGATGGTGTCTATTGGCAGTATCGCCAGTAGCTCTTAGTTTTGAACATGGTTGTCTCTGTCCCATCCTTAACACTGTAAACCAAGCATAACCTAAGAGAGGCTTTTGCTGGTTAGCCTAACAGAAGTGGCCATTGCCTTAGTGTTATAATATTTGTACTGCACTGTAATTAATCATCTTGTTTATTTTTAGTCTTCCCCTCTTTGAAGGTGTGGTCCTTCTTCAGATTGTGGCTTATAGTGCCTATTTTTTAAATTAATAAATACTGGTTGAATTCTTAAGATTCATTCCAATCTTAGAAAATATGGTGTGATATAAAAATGTACATCTATAAGTTATGAAAGGAATCCTCTTTTATAGCAAATTCGTCCTTTATTTTTATTCAGTTGGTAAAAAATGTAGTTGATTTATAACTTTTCAGTAATGTTTTATTACTTATTAAAGTAGGGCTATGGCTATTTTATGGCTTAATTACAAATACAAATGAAATAGAAGATGCTGAGTTTTTAGATAGTGAATTAAATAGTTGCTTTTGGATTCGGTGCTTTTAATTTTCTTAGTAGCTTACTCTGGGAACATGATTTAATTTATATCTATGTAGATAGTTTATTAAGACTACTGATAAATATGTTAATATTATTATTTATGTTTAACTAATACACTTAGTAATATCTATTTCCTCAATTCCTTCCCTTTTGTGATTTCTTTGATTTTTAGGATCATCATGCTTAGATTTCATAATATAAAAAAGCCTCTTGAAAATCAGATTTCCTGTTTGACAAGTGAATCTTATAAACAGCTGGATTATTTGCCTGACAGACTAAGAGCAAAGCTGCTTCCTTTTCAGAAAGATGGCATCACTTTTGCCCTTAGAAGAGATGGCAGGTAAGGTACTTTTTTGAAGACTGACTGAAAATGTTAAATCCCTGGCAAATATATAAAAAACAAAGCTCTGTGCAAAGCTTTCTGTGTGTGTGTAGAGAGTCTTCTATTAATTTCTTTTTTTGCTGCATCATGAAATAATAATTTCAGGATATAACTTCTTTTGCCTTTACTCATGAGTGATATTTTGGTTGGCATACAGCTCTCCTTCAATAGGAGGAGGAGGAAAGATATAAGACTTTTTTTTTCTTAGCACTTTGGAAGTTACAGTCTGCTGTCTTCTGATTTCCACAGTTGACAGGAAAAAAACATGCTCTTGAGTCTCAAAATATTATTCTACAGGTGACTTATTACAAAGAAAAAATTACAAAATGAGGAATATTAGTATCGCCAGTAGCGTGACACTCTCGGACATAATCTGGTGCATGGGACTTATGCAACATTCCTTAGCAGTGTTCTTTCTGGAAAGCTTTAGCTGATAATCATAAGGAAGCAGTCAAACCAGTTCAGAATGTGGGATATTTTTTCAGGACAACTGACCTGAAGTCTTCAAATGATTCAATGTCATGAAAAACCTAGGGCAGTGGTAAGAATGTTATAAATTGAGAGATAAATAAGAGTTAAAATATCTGAAAGTAAAGCATAAACTTTGATTAGGTCCTGGATAAGTAGAAAGGTAAACTTTAGAGGACCTTTTTTAGGAAAACTGGGAAAATTTTATCTGTACTGTATTATAGTGGTGTTATTGAATTAATGTTAATTATCTTAGGTGAGGTAATGGTATTGCAGTCGAATAAAGGAATGTTCTTGTTCTGGGATGATAAAGAATTTGGGAATAAGGAATCCTACTATCTTCATCCTACTTTCTACATTTTCAAGAAAGGGAAGGACCTGTGTATATTTAGAAAAACTTTGAATGGGTCAGCCAAAATGTTAATAGAGTGAATCTGGTGAGTGGTATAAGTTTGTTCATTGTATTATTTGGGGGGGGGGAGTGGACAGATTGTGTGAGTTTGAGAATTTTCCAAAATAAAACAAAACCCAACCAAGGAGTTACTCTAATTTTAATTGCTTTGTAGATCTCTTGTCTGTATGTTATTTTAAGGTTTTTCTCTGTCTTTGGAGTTCTGCAGTTTCACTATAATTTATTTAGTATTTTTTAAATCCTGTTTGGGATTATTGTACATTTTTAATCTGGGATTTGTATCATGTTGATTCTGAAAAATTTTCAGTTATTGCTTCTTCAAATATTGATTCTTACTCATTCTCTATATTATTTTCTGCAATTTGAATTACACTGATACTTGACCTTTTTACTCTCTTCTATTTAGTGTTTCTTACACTTTCTGTCTGTGTTACATTATGTCTGTTTTTAAAGATCCCTCTTATAGTACATGATTATGCTGTTTAGCTCATCTACTCAACTTGTAAAAAACTAAGAAAAGTGTGAGGATGATAAGTGTACAACTTGAAGAATTTTCACAGAATAGCCATCACCCAGATCGAGAAGTAGGATTACATTACTAGTGTCCCAGAAATTTTCCTCTTGTTCCCTCCCAATCACTACTACCTGCCTCCTCTCTGGAAGTCACCACTATCCTGACTTCTAACACCATAAATTACTTTTACATGTTCAGCTATATCATTATAATTATATATACATACATAATATATACACACACATAAATATATATGTTTATGTGTGTGTGTGTATATATATATATACACACATATATACTTTTTCGTGTCTGACTTCTTTCACTCAACATCATTGTGAGATCCTTCCACATTGTTGTATGTGGTTGTAGTTGTTTCATTTGCATTGCCATATATTATAAAATTTCATTGTATAAATATACCATGATTCATTTATTGATTCTACTGTTGATGAGCATATGGGTTGTTTTTAGTTTGGAGCTCTTATGAAAACAACACTATGAACATTTTTATACAAGTCTTTTGGTAAATGTAGATACATTTCTCTTGTATATATATCAAGAAGAGAAATTGTTGGATCATAAAATATGCATGTATTCCACTAAGCAGATACTACTAAGTACATTTTGCCAGGTCTGTTTTGATGAAGAACCACAAGTAGATGGCTTAAACAACAGAAATTTATTGCCTCACAGTTCTAGAGGCTAGAAGTCCAAAATTAAGGTTTGTTGGGATTGATTTTCTTCCCAAGGCTGTTTGGAAAGGTTCTCTTCTAAGTCTTATTCCTTTACTTGTAAATGGCTGTCTTTTTCCAATGGCTTTTCACATTCTTTTCCTTCTATCGATGTCAAAATTTTCCCCAACACATTTTTTTATCCTCAACCAAGGACATATTTTTTCCATTGCTTTTAGAGAGAGAGGGAAGGAGAGACAAAGGGAGAGAGATAGAAACATCGATGTGAGAGAGAAATATCAACCCATTGCCTCCTGAACATTCCCGGACATGGTATTGAACTAGCAACCAGGCATGCACCCTATGGGAATCAAACCACAGCCCTTAGGTTATGGGACAATGTTCCAACAAACCAAGCCATACCTGTCAGGGCAAAATTTTTCCTTTTTAAAAGGACACTGGTTATATTGGATTACAGACCACCCTAATGACGTAATTTTAACTAATGAAATCTGCAACAATCCTATTTCCAAATTAGGTCACATTCTGAGGCACTGGGTTTTAGTACTTCAACATAGGAATTGGGGGGCATAGTTTAACCCCTAAAGTCATCCAAACATTTTTTAAAGTGATTGTACCAATTTATACTTGTATTGACAGTGTCTAAGAGTTACAGTTATACTACATCCTTAGCAATACTTGATATTGTCTATATTTAATTTCATTTTAGATAGTCTGGTAATTATGTAGTGATATTTATTGAGGTTTTTATTTGCATTTTTCTGATAACAAATGAAGTTTAACACATTTTCATATACTCATCAGTCATTTGTACAACCTCTTTGTTAAGTGCCCATTCATATCTTATCCATTTTCATACTGGGTTTTGTGTCTACCCTTTTCTTGTTGTTTTCTCGGACTCTCTTGTGAGATTTATATTTTTATTGAGTCTTTTGTCAGGTAGACATGTTGTGAATACTTTTTCTCAGGCTATGACTTTTTCACTCTTTTCATAATGTCTTGGTAAGCAGATGTTCTCAATTTTAATGTCATCTTAAATATTCTTAATCAGTATTATTATTTATGCCTGACATTTTTTGCACCCTATTCTAGAAATATTTGCATACTTCAAAGTTGTGAAGATAATTTCCTATGTTTTGTCCTAAAAACTTTACTGTTTTATTTTTTACAAATTTGATCTACAGTCCACCTGGATTTGAATTTTTTACATGGCATGAGTTAAGGGGCAGGCTTGATTAGTTACTGATTATGTATTTATTTATTTATTTTGTATATGGATGTCTGATTGATCCATCACAATTTATTGAAAAGACCAAGCTTTCTCCACTGCACTAGAGTGTCTTGTCATAAATCAAGTTATCTTATGTGTATCTTTCTAGATAAATGCTCTCAAATGGAACTTTCTGCTATGATAGAAATGTTTGTATCTTTACTGTTTAATTTCATAGTTATTAGGTACACATGGCTACTGAGTTCTTGAAATTTTATCATTGCAACTAAAGACTGAATTTTTCATTTTTGTTGAATTTATTGGAGTGACATTGGTTAATAAAACTAGGTAAGTTTTAGGTGTACAATTCTATAAGACATCATCTGTATATTGTACTGTGTGTTTACCACCCCAAGTCAAGTTTCCTTACCTTACCATTTATCACCCTTCTACCCTCCTCTGAGTTTTTAGTTTTAACTAATTTTAATTAATGTAATTTAGATAGCCAGATGTGTCTAGGGGCTACCATATGGGACAGCGTAGATATAGATAATTTGTTTTATTTATTTGTCTGATTGCTGGTCTTTTTGTTGGTACCATACTTCTAAATTACTATAAATTTATAAAGCTATTTTGGTATAAGATAGCATATAGCTTCATTAAAAATTTTTAAAAATTATTGTTGGCTCTTTGCATTGCCTCTAAATTATGGATATCCCTTATCAATTTTCACCAAAAAAGGTGCTGGGATTGTTTTGTATCTGTAGATCAGTGTGGGTAGAATTTATATATTTAAAATATAGAATATTTTAATCCATGGATGTGAATGATTATTTTAAGATTTTCTCTTTTGTTTGAGTATCCAAAAGTCTGTCTCTTCAAAAAATTACTTTGTCCCCCGTTTTTCTCTTCCTTAATTCCAGCTGTTGGAACTTTTCTTAGTGTCCCACTATTTCTTCTTTTTCTTCTTTTCTTTAAAATTTCTGTGCTTCAGGTGGATATTTTTTATTTACCCATATTCTTATTCTAGTCCTATCATTTGCTGTTAAATAAACCTGTTGAATTCCCTAAGGAAGACACCACCGCTGAAAATACCTAAAATTAAAACACATTCAGTATGTCTGAAATAAAATTGAATTTATTACTTAATAAGCAAGGGAGAACTATGCTTGTTAGATACAGGATCTTGAAACAAAGCAGAGTTGGTATTGTATTAGGCTTTGGGGAGGTCTAGAGGCTTCTAAAAAGCTGCCAGTTCCCTGCAGGCCAGTTCCCAGCAGGGGACGCACGAAAGGTAACCATACATTGATGTTTCTCCTCCTTTCTCCTTCCCTTCCCCTCTAAAGATAAATAAATAAAAATCTTTAAAAGAAAAGAAAAGGCTAGAGTGTTTACAGATTTGCTGAATTTCACAGTACAGTTTAGGGATTAGCTAACTAATGTCAAAGAACAGTCAGTCCTTTCCTTTCTTGTACTTGGGGGATGGGAACATTTTCTTTTCTGTTCTTGTCAGATTATTATTAAGTTCTAGAATATACAGTTCTTATCTACCAGGTTATATAGATAGTATCTTGTTTCTTGCTGTGATTTTTCTGTCTCTTATTTCTGTAAATGTTTACACTTACTTATTTTACATATCTGACATCCTTTGGAAGCTCTTTG